CATCAGTGGTTTTAATGTTGTTACTAATTGGTGTGTGTATCAATGTTTTTACCGTACATCAATTATATTGGCCAGGCATTGTAACCATCACAACTCTGACTAATTGCGAGAAGATGTCTGGGTGAGTTATTGTAAACTTCAATGTGGGAGAAGTGCAAAACATATATCACAATATACATCATGAATATTTATAATGACAATAATCCCTGCAAGTGGACTGGTATATCTCAGGGATCGCCACTAAATTTTGCTTCTCAGTTTTTGTCTATAAATGTGTAAATAACCAGTTCTGCCCCAATAAAAACACATTTCGCTTTGATCAGCTTTTCCTTTTTCATAAAGTACAATTCTTCATTATCTAATGAAAATATGCCCATAATTAATACACTCAATGATTAGATTCAGGATTTAATTAAGATACAGCACACTGATTGAGTACCTTTCAAGAGCAAGTAGTTACCACTGCCTTAATCTCCTCCGCCATCTAAGTACTATACCATCTTTTCCCACTACAATCAGCTGTCATTTATGCAGACTTATGGATGTGTTGAAAACACGGCTGTTGACTCTAATAGAAATGTATAAGCACTTAAGCATGTGCACACATCCCAAGTGTAGACACCTTCACAGCAAACAGTCAGACACATGAACACATCCTAACTATATTCTCAGCACGATTCCACAAACACTCGTTAATCACCTGTGTTCCTGGTTGCAGTGATGTCCCGATCCTCTGCACTGTCACTCGCTTCATGGGGAGGCCTGCATTAAAGAGAAGAGACAGGAAATAGGAATCTGTTCAACCAAGGCGTATTCGCAAATTAGAGTCTCTTGCATCTATGCAGAAACTGGCTAAGACATTCATTGCCGAAAATAAGGTTGTAAATGAAGGAAGGATATGGAGCGGAAGATGCAGAGAAATGGGTAAATACATTGAAATCAAAAGGACCGTTTTATTTATTAAGCTACATTTACAATTTGATTTGGTCCCAAATACAAAAAGGCTTTAAGAATGGGGTGGATTGAACATGCGAGTATCATAGCTCTGACAACTGTCCTTGTTGTGGTATCTGGTGGTATCTAATAGCGTCTGTTAGTCAAGCATCGAGCAATTTCTAACTTCCTCTCACTGTCCAGACCTGCAAGTCATTTGTCTCGTAGCGTTTGTAACACACAGCTATTCAGCTTCACCTCAGAAAAGATCTGTGGCACAATTGATGGATTCTGTCGAAGAGGACAGTACCAATCTTTATTCATCATATGCAGGTTAAAAGGCAAATCAATCTGTGTCTGTCCTGTTTAAATGAGAAGAAATACTCAATTAAACAAAGACAAACATGCTCCATGCTTGACAAAAGCTTACGACAGGAATCCTCTGTTCTTATGAGGTCATTAAACTGGAAAAAGATACAACCTGCCGAGACATATAAATTTCACATCCAGCCATAAAGTAAAGACAGACATTTCTTCTGAGATCTCTGTCTCTCCCTCTGAGAAATAGGGCACAGGGGTGATATTATACATTGGTGTCATTCTGTTGCTCAGGGCCCATAACAGTGTGATAACCAGGGACCTAAGGGCCCTCACCGCTGATGGAAAATAGATTATATCACTTGAAATGGGGAAATTTTCCCAATATGCACACGTACCTATATACACATCCAACAAACATGAACACCCACACTCACACAAAAAAGAAATCCCTCCACATCCTC